TATTTTTGTTTTCTTTTACAAGTTTACAAGTTTACTCTCACCCGTAAAAGGAATAACCGCTGGTGAGTTGGACGAGCAGTGAACTTCCGGTGATCTACAAGTATAAGGAGTTAAGGACGATCAGAGGCCCTGAGGTGGATTTATAGGGAAATTTTCTCGATTGGCCACGTGCCAACTTCTTAATCGGCATGGATTATGGCTGCTTCAGAAATCAACCTCTTCTAGTTTTCCTGATTCTTTCTATCTAATAAAAAGGGATATTATCTAAAATTTATCATGTATTTTTTACATTTTGACCGTTAGTGATCATTAATAAAAGTTGTTGGTGTGAACATTTACATGAGTAAATTATCTTTAAAATGGTCAGTCAACTTTATTAAATATTTTATGATAATATTACCTCAGACCTGGGCTTGGACCCACACTAGACACAAATTTTAGAGCCGGGCTTCAGTCTAATACTTCAAGCCCGGCCTAAGCTGACGTATTTAATAAGGTTAACGGACCATTTTACGGATAATTTTGTCATAAAAATATTTAATAAGGCTGATAATAAAATCTTATCACAGAAGGTGAGTTTTAGACAATAAAATTTAATGACTGGGGGCTCTCTAGATGTTTTGATAAGTTATAATGAATTTAAAAAAAATGTAAAAAAAGTTGTAGTGAATTTTAAATAACACCCCTAATAAAAATAATCGACTTGATTGATTAATGCAAGTTTTCTTCAACAACTTACCACTTGGCAATTTTCTAGAAAATACGAGAAAGGTTGGATCCAAGTAAGGCATTGGATGCTTGTCAACGGCCCAAAGTGCAAATTACTTACCACATGTTTGCGCCAGTGGGACGCGGGAAGGTCTGGTATTTCATTGGTTGTAGGCTGTTGGCCAACTGGAGCGCTGAAGTATGATCCAAGAGTTTGGTTGTCGGCCCATTTGATTAAATTTAGACCCAAATACTACGATACGCTAGTTTAGGATGAGCCCAACAAGTAGGCTGAGGCTGTTACCAATTCTTTGTATTCAAGTTTATAGATCGAATGAAAAATACTCGACTTTGCCTTAAAAAAAGATTAAGGAGTTCAATTGACATCACAAAAAGAATGATGTTTTGAGCGCTAAGGCATATTATTAACCCCTAATGAAGTCATCAATGACAATTGATCAAAAGTTCAGGGCATTATTATCATTTTATAGCTGACTTTGACTGAGTGGGAAAAGACATTGATGACCTCCATGGAAGCCAACGTCTCTCTATGCAATAAGGACAGTTTGGGATTACTAATTTGAAAAATAAGTGTTTGTTTTTTAATAAATGCTCATGACCAAGGATAAGGTTAGGGTTTTAATTCTTTGATCCGAATTAGGCTCGGGTTTTGGCTGACCTGCCCCGCCGGGTCATCATACCTTATATATCTAACAAGTATTCTTGCAATTTTTTTATTTCTAACTTCATATTTAAAAATTTATGATTTATTTACATGTTTTGATATTTTTCTTTTTTTTAAATGAAAAAAGTAACAACTTAGAATCTATAAAATACCTTAGAATCTATAAAACAATTTTCTGACTTAAATCAATGTATATTAGGTCTTCAAAACATGTTAAAATATACATTTGAAATGCTACAAGTTGAGTCGGGTCGAGATAGGGTTAAACCCTATAAGGTCAGGTTGGGTTCATGAATCATGTATTTTTAAGCTGGGTCAGTTTGGGTGCTGGAGGGTTGGGTTAGGGTTTAGGCAAGCTCGTGCCTAACACAACTTGTTGACATCCCTAGTTCAAAGTATCGATAGGATAAGCCCTGTATCGGAGGTATTGTATCATATCTTTGGCTAACTGATACATCTGTTTACATGTGTTTTTAGGGACTCAATTTTTTAATTAATATATATAACTGAAATTTGGAAAAAAAAAACAAAACAAAACAAAGCACATGGTTTAAAGTACAGATACATTTTTGTCGATCCACAAATGTGTATGAATACATTGAACCATGCTCATGACATTTTGGTGAAGAAACACTTATTTCAAACAGGGGCAGAATAGGTATTTTCAAAAATAATGTGGTGGGCCATTACACTCTTATTGAATAAGCACTTAAAAATAAGCCAAAAAAATTAAGCCAATTTTGGGAGTGGTTAAAAATAAGTACTTATTTTGGTTCAGGACCACACCAATAAGCACTTATTGGCATTTGAGAAATGAACCCAAAATAAGTGCTTGTTGTCATAATAAACACTTGTTCAAGAAGCTTAAAATTCCAGCTTAGTCTAAATTATTCAAAATTTTCCTTCCAAAACACTCCATGATTACATTTCAAAATGCTAATATTGCCCTTTGTTGAAAGAACATATGGTTGCTCTATTCAATGAAGCTTTCTTCTCTACTCCTCTTATCAAAGACTTAGTAGTGGTGGTACTGCTTGAACCAAAAGCTCATGCATCCACATTGGTGAACATTCTTCTTGATGTGGCACTCTTAAAATGAGAGTTACATTTGTCTCTTTAATGAATAAGTGCTTATTAGAGAAAAAGACCACCAAATGTGTAATATGATATAAGTGCTTTTTTTTAAATAAATAAGTGTTTATTCGTATAAACCAGGTGTTAAACACAAAATAGTACTTATTCGAATAAGTACTTGTTTTCAAATGCTTATTCAATAAACACTTATTTTCGAATAAGCACTCCCAAACTTGGCCTTAGACTTTTGAATAATAAGTGATGGTGCCATACCTCGACCCCCTCTATTCACCATGTGGACACTGACATGGCTTGAGGTCAAATGATGTCCTCATCTGAGTCAGTAGTGAGGAGGGCTATGTGTTAGAGCTGATGGTTGCACCATCCATGACAACCCCAGATGGAATCAAGGCACATGGTGAGTGGCGGGTCGTTGATGGCCACCCACACTGAGGAGTGCGGAATTGCCCAAGGATTTTGGCCACCAGTAGCACTCAAGTATTTAAAGGCGCTCCTCTCAAGGTATCTCAATCTACCTCTCTTCTAGGGATGGCAATCTTCCTCGTCCCCGAACGAGTACCTAGGCTCCCCGACCCAATGGGGTCGGGTATGGAGAGTGCTTTTAGCGGGGTTGAATATGATTTGAACCCTTGTTCATCACATTCTCTCTCGCTCTACTTCTCCCAACGTGGAAAGAACTATTTTGGAATTCCTTCCAAATATTTTTGGTGTCAGCTAGAGTGGTGGAGGCTTGAAAGCGAACAAGATTTGTTTGGTTTTTGTTTCCAAAGAGAAGGATCATGGAAGGGATGACAGAGGGAATAGGATGTTAAAAGCAACCAAGGATTTGGGTCTCCAACGGGGATTGGGGACGAGGATGGGGGATGATTTGGAAATCGAGGTCAGGGATGGGGAATGTAATCCCCGCCCCATTGCCATTCCTACTCTTTTCCACTCCTTTAACTCTCTAGCCTTCTTGCTTTCTTGCTCTCTAGTTGTTCAGCACAACTCAGATATGATCAACTTGGCCTAACCGACCTCCTCCATCATTTACTGACTTGAGTGTTGGAGTGCCTCTCCCCGAAAAACCTCCTCAGGGTAGAGATGCAAATAGATCAGATCATATTTGAATCATTGTTCATGGCAAATCCGATCGGATCTTATAGGCCATGATCTGAATTTGAATCCTATCGATAAGTCAGATCTTCGGATCTAATTCCATCTTACTTGTTTCTTTAAAAATTAATAAATCATTAAAAGAAAGATAAAATATACCAATTTAAATAAAGAAAAAACAAAAAATACGTCTTTTTTTTAATGTTTTTCATCATATATATACATGGTTTATAAAAAAAATAAATAATATAACAAATTTATAAAAATACAATATAAATAATATATTTATAAATAAATAATTTATTTATTTATTATATATATTTATATGAATAAATATATAAGATATATATCGAATCAGATCTTCTCAGATCGAATAAGGGCGACCTGAATCCAATCCGATTCCCAATTGAATTCTATTATCCGATCCAAAGATCCGAACTAGAATAATCTAAATTCAACCAAATAAGATCAGATCATGCATTCGATCCAGTTGCACCCCTACATCGGGGCCTCTAAAATATTCTTACAGGTCATCCGGTGCATTCTCGGTTCGTTTTGCTCGTTCTCAACACAACTCGTCTAGTATGTAGGATTTATTTGTTATTTGTACTAAACAAACACTTATTCGGAAATTAGGCTCAATTTGAAAAGAGTACAAATATAAATACATACAAAATACAAAGCTTTACACTTACATATTCATTAGTATTAATATTACCAACTGAGCCTTAGAAACGCAAATAAGCACTGGTGTGGTCCCGGCCCAAAACGAATGCTTATTTGAATAATTATCAGAGACAGCATCGGAGATCCCACCATCTCAGATCTGATATGATCCGAACCCCACACTCCAGACAAAGAATTTTCCTATCCTTTCCTTTTTCAGTTTCTTAAGCCAATCGGCACGCTTCACGCGATCATCGTTAAAAGTCCCGATGATCATTATGAGGAACCCCCACATCGATGCTTCTCTCCTTCAACGATGGACTTCTCGATGCGATTTCAATGGCGTTCCCACCGTTGGATTGTCTCGGAATTTTTGGTGGTGTGGGTCCCGATAAGTATCTTTCGAAGGTGGATCCCATTCTTCCTTCTCCAACGGTCACCTACCCAAGCCGCCCTACCGGTCTACGATCCCTCACCCAAATTGTAGTTTTTTCGGTTAAAAGTATGTCGTAGGGAGACTTTTTGGGGGGAATCACAAAATAGACCGGTCAATGAAGAGACTAGAAGGGTATTTCCGGCATATGGAAAATACGTACGGGTTGGCGACGTTGGGTGGGCAGAGGGGTAGGACATACGGAGTGGCATTCACGGATATTTCGACCAAATATAAGGGCCTTTTGTAAAGTTGGAGATAAAGTAAGTAGGCGTTAGAATTTGAAATGGAGGGCCGTTTGTCCAGGAGTTCGAACTTCAAACCCACTTCAAAGCAACAAACAAAATAACGCTTTGGATTTAAAATCTGTTGCGTCTCTTCAGTTGAACTCAAACCCAGATAGATAATAGAGAGAGAGAGAGAGAGAGAGGGGCGGAGAGAGAGGGAGATGACGGGTGTAGTGATGGTTGCGAAAGGTGTTGGTTGCAGAGGAGATGGTGGTGGTGGTGGCAAGGCAACGAGAGGAGCCGAGGACCAGAACCAGCTCTCCCTCGTTGCGTTTCTTGTAGCAGCTATAAGGAAATCCATGGTCGCTTGCCGTGTCGATCGGCAGGAGGATGTCATCTCCACCGTTCACCAGATGGAGATTGGATGGCCGACCAATGTCCGCCACATCACCCATGTCACCTTCGACCGCTTCAACGGATTCCTTGGCCTCCCCGTCGAGTTCGAAGTTGAGATCCCCGGCCGAGTTCCTAGCGCCAGGTCTTTCTTTCTTCTCTCCTTGGATACTCTTGAAAATAGAGCGGTTTGATACTTTGATCTGGGTCATCTTTCTAAAAGGCATGAAAATGAAGCTTGTCCAGTCTTTTTCTTTTTTTTTTTTTTAGAATTGAGATAGATTAGGCAACTCTCAATTGGGTAGCTCATGGAAGTAAAGGAACTCTGGTGATCTCTGAAAACTGGAGTTTCAGTTGACTTTAAATGATTTACTCGTGTAACACTGAGTTTCAGGCGGGTAGCCTGAAAACTGGAGTTTCAGGCTTTCTTCTCTCTCTCTCTCTCTCTCTCTCTCTTTATAATTGTTAATCTTGACAAGGGCCCCTCTGTATCTGTCTCTGTAGTGTTAGCTCGCATGCTTCATGAGCTAATACAAGAGGGCGGATGGAGATGCGAATTGGGTTTAACCTTTTCATGGGGGTACTCATTGTAGTGGTGCATTCTATATAATATAGTGTTCAGGCTTTCTTCTCTCCCTCTCTCTCTCTCTCTCTCTGCAATTGTTAATCTTGGCAAGGGCCCATCTGTATCTGAGTACCACTGTGTTTAGTCTGCTAACTCTGGCTCTCTTTTCTTGCAGTGCAAGTGTCTTCGGGGTATCTCCAGAATCAATGCAGTGTTCTTATGACTCTAAAGGGAATAGTGTCCCGACTATTTTACTGCTAATGCAGGAAAGGTTATACTCACAAGGTGGTCTAAAGGTAAAACTTCGTTCACTCTCCAAGAATGATCGATGTTAATTTAGTTGCAGAGAAAAGTTGAAGTTGTATTGAGTGCTGCTACTAATGTCGAAAGTTATCTATCTTCTTGACGATTCCTTTGATTGGGCTTTGTAGGCTGAAGGAATATTCAGGATAAACCCCGAGAACAGTCAGGAAGAGCATGTCAGGGACCAACTGAACAGGGGTATTGTACCAGAAGACATTGATGTCCACTGTTTAGCGGGGCTGATTAAAGCCTGGTTTCGAGAGCTTCCAGCAGGGGTCTTGGATGAACTCTCCCCTGAAGAAGTTCTCCGGTGCAACACAGAAGAGGAGTGTGTGGAGCTTGTGAAGCAGCTCCCACCAACTCAGACTGCATTACTCAACTGGGCCATTGATCTTATGGCCGATGTCGTTGAGGAAGAGGAATCCAACAAGATGAACGCAAGAAATATTGCAATGGTCTTTGCGCCAAATATGACTCAGGTGTTTGATTAAATTGACAAACTTTAATACTTCCAGTGCAACTCTTGTCACACTTCATGAATGGCTCTGGTGCAATTGATCCTTTCTAATTATCAAAACCTTTTGTTTTTTGTGTGTGTAGATGTCTGATCCATTGACGGCTCTGATGCATGCTGTTCAAGTGATGAACCTGCTCAAGACCCTGATTACAAGAGCTCTGAGGGAACGTGAAGAGAATGCAACAGGAGCGTATTCACCCTTTTCATCTCATTCATCGGATTTGCAAACTGATGATGACTTCAACAGTCAGCAAGAGATGGACACGAGCTGTGAATCGAGGGGACCAGCTTCAGATTACGAGGACCACACCCATTACAGTCAGAGCAGCGCTGATGAATATGAAGATGACCCGCTGAATGAAATTGAGGAATGCTTCTTGAGGCAGTTGGATGAAAACGAAAAGCCCACAAATGATGCCCCTGAAAATTCAGTTGGAGAACATGGAAGCGAGCAAATCAGTCCAAGCAGCTGCTCAGGTTTCAATACAGAATCTGGTTTCTCCTGCTCTGACAGTAAGAATGAGAGTTCAGGCTTGGGTACAAGTGATGGAGAAGACTCAGGGTCAAGTGAAACTTCTATGCAAGAGGCAGCCTACAAACACATCCCTTCAAAAGTATGTGAAAGCAACAGAAGCGGCAGGGACATGGATACGGTGGTTCAGCGGATGGAGTTCTCAAACGGCCCTTCATCCACTAATTGATGTTTCACTTCAAATTCTTACAAGTTGGAAAGCACTGGTTTGCAGGAATTGATTTTGTTTTTATAGAAATTGGAGCGTCTGCAAATTCTACGCAGTGTTGGTCTTTCACCAACGACATTTGGGAGTGCTTTGCATGTGGTAAGGGACCCCTGTTCAGCTCAGGGCTGAACTTGTTGTGTTGTATGTGGTAAGGGACCCCTGTTCAGCTCAGGGCCGAACTTGTTGTGTTGTATGTGTATCATAATTTCTGCTTAAAATCTTTTTGAGTGTGAATGATGATGTTCAGAAACCAAATTCCACATCTCTGTCATATGACACAAAATTGACAAGGTGTGTATCTACAAGGGTAGGGTGCTTTGTCTGTCTGTGCGGACCTGGTTCAGAACTAGGCCAAACTTGAACTTGTCTGTATCATTTGCAAAGGATTGGGGGAATAGTTGAAATTGTATGCTTCTTCTGTCAAACTTGAATTTCTGCTTAAAATCTTTTTGAGTGTGATGTTCAGAAATCAAATTCCACATCTCTGTCATATGACACAAAAATTGACAAGGTGCGTATCTACAAGGGTAGCGTGCTTTGTCTGTCTGTGCGGACCTGGTTCAGAACTAGGCCAAACTTGAACTTGTATGCTTCTTCTGTCAAAGGATTGTGAGGAACTCGAGTTTAGTTCTTGGGCTAAACTTTGTGTCTGTTTTATTTGCATCAATTGTAAAAGAATTCCCTTCAAATCCAATTATTTGTATGATCTTTCCATGAACTGTGTAATGCCCAATTGTGACCATTCCACCGGCAACTGCTTAAAACAACCCACACTCAGAACACTGTTGGCTGCATCCTAGACTGGTTCAGCACTAGGCTCTCTTTTAGCTTGTGGCCAATATTTGGATAAGATCTCCCAGGTCGAACTTGTAGATATCGTGAGTAGTTAGTGATGGCTAAGGCTTCTTCTCTGGGATAACTAAGAAATAGATGCCTCTCTCAGGCATCTTTTCGAGTACCTTTCTACCCACAAATACATCTTTGTTGCATAACCAACCACAGGCAGTCCAGGTTATGATATTTGCTTCCGGGGCCCTGTTGAAAAAGCTGAAGTGCCGACTGCGTGTTTCCCAGTTGTTCATCATTAATCGACCAAGTTATGAGGCATTTTGTCGAATAGCTTTCGCGCATCTGCAACACATCAGGCAGCACGTAGAAACGGGATATCGAGCTCATAATAATATTGTAAAACCCAGATTCAAGACGTCATTCATTAAGGGGACGTTTGGAACCGTGCCCGTTTTTCAAAAAGAATGGTAACACGTAGGATTCATATAGGTGTTTCAACAAACGCCCATGTATAGCACGTAGAAATGGGAAATTGAGCTAATAATAATATTGCAAAACCCAGATTCAAGACGTTGAGTCATTAAGGGGATGTTTGTAACCGTGGCCATTTTTTAAAAAAACGGGGCCACATTGGATCCACATGGGCATTTCAATAAGCGTTCATGTATTTCATTATTTGGTTCAGCCGATTACTAAAAACCGGGCATATCTTGAAAATCGGGACCCCACTGATGCATGAAATGCCAAACGGTTGACTGATGTGTATCCTATGTGGTGATTATCTGCCGGCACATATATGAAAAACTTCGGTGATAAAAATCATCTTACTAAACAGCATACTGTTGCTCACTACTTATGTGGCAGAAACATTTTTTTGTGAAAAATAAGTCTTGAAAGCATTGACATTTTTTCTTGAAAATTGGTCCCAAAAAGCACCCTCACTTCCAAACACCATGTAAATGAATGGGTAACAAAGAAAGCGAATACATCGATTGCACTCCCCTCCCCAGTTCATCTCCTCAAAAAATCAGAATATCAGTTTTGTGAATCAATGGAGAACCACATTTCAAGGACCAATCAAAGTCAACTTCAATGTTGCTGTCAAGAGGGATGCTGAAGCTTCGATCAGCAAGGTTCCTACCAATAGTGCTAAAGCTTGGACACCTAAAGAAGCCTTGGATGCAATTGTTCATCGCAACTGGATCATTCAGTAGAATCCAAGATCGTCGGACTGCATCAACAAGAGTCCAACCATTTTCTTAGGGGTGAGCAAATGGGTTAATTCTATATAGAACCGTTTGAAATTGGAACCAAAACCAAGCCAATTCCAATTGAATACCCAGATCGGTTTCTGATGATGCGCGATCCGGTCGGTCCTAGCTGCCGGTGACCTTGCCTCTGATGGAACTGAAGATGCCTGAAACAAGGAAGAAACTGGAGATTTCTGGGGAGGAACCCGGTAAGAACACTCCGAAGCTCAAGTTAGTGCTTTTGAGAAGGCAAGGGGAATAAGGGACTTCAAGACCAGAAGGCACAAAAATCACATACTTCCTTCTTTGGGGGAAGGGGGCCTTTTATAATCACCCCGTACACTCACTCCCATACCTCTGCTAGATCGGGTATCATCACCTCTGCCAGATCGGGTGTCATCACCTCTGCCAGATGCCAGATCGGGTGTCATCACCTCTGCCAGATGCTAGATCGGGTGTCATAGCCACCACTGCCTTCCCTGTCAGGGCCGTCTCTACAACGACTTGAGATGGTGGTAGCGGGTGGCCGTTAGAGTGCGGCTGTCATGTGTCAGACCCCTAATCAGTCAAGCGCGCCGCCTCAGAATATGGACTTCTTTGGTGTCAAGTACGGTTGTTCAGCCATGCGACCTGGAGCCGAAGTGCCGGAGTGGTGTGCGAGGTGAAGTCTTGAGTTCGGATAGAAGTGTGGCCCGAACTGCCCTGAGGTGGGTCAGCTCGGGTTTTTTCCCTTTGCACTCCTTGTAAGGCTCAGGGCCTCTAAGGGAGAGCTCGGGCTCCTCCTTGGGGGAGCTCGGGTCGTGGGTTCATTTTTGGGGGAGCTCGGGGCTCCTTTTCTTGGAGCTCGGGTCGTAGGCACGTTGCTGTGCTGAGCTGGCGCTCCTGCCAGATCACTCTTGGTTGCTTCCACGTGTCGCACGGCCAAGGGATCGGGCCAAATCTCCCTCCATCAATTGCCCCCACTCCCCATGCCTGGGGTCCTGACCCGGCGTGGGGAGTTCACAGGATGACGGGTGGATTTGCCTCGCTATGCTTTGGCCTTGGTTTGGAGCTTCTCCGGTCTGACCTGCCTGTACTTTCAGACCGATCAGGGTCAGATCGGTTCGACCAAGGGTCAATCCGGGTTGCGTGCAGCTCACGCGCGGATGTCAAATGATTATAAATTTTTGGACGTCAAAAATTCGCGCTAAACTGATTTCACCTCGGGGGGCGCACAGCCGGTTTCGTTGGGAGCCATTGGATGGTTTTGATCTTGGCCGTTGATGCGCGAGTACAGTGGCTATAAATAGTGGGGGCCCCTGGTCATTTTCCTTTGCCATTCTTCAGCATTCGTTCCTTGAGCTCGCGTCTAAGGCTGTCATCTCACGTCGTTCTTCGTAGTTCTGTAGCTTTTCCCCGGTGAGTCCTCTGCCTTTTTCTCAATTCTTTTCCTTTCAATGTCCAGCTCAGGTAGCTTAGATAGTCTTCTAGGGGGGTCAGATGCTGGGTCCACGAACCGAGCTGCTGCCTCTGACAGACAGTGAGTCCAAGGTGGGGCCCGAGGAAGAGCTCGAGGAAGAGTTCGAGCCCGTAGGCCGAGTCACCTCGGGGAGCTTGGCATCCACCTCCCGTCGAGGTCGGATGCCAGATAAGTTCGGGCCTTCCGCCATGATGCCCGAGAGGCTTCAGTCCCTTATTGCTTAGTGTAACCTGCCCAGGGAGTATACTTACATTTTACCCTCAAGCGACTTCCCTTGGGAGCACGGTCCGGACGAGATCGTGATATTCCGGGAGCATCTTGTTGCCGGGCTGCGCCTTCCTTTCCATCCCCTTATCGTCGAGGTCATGAATCACTTCGGTGTTACTGTCGGTCAGCTCCACCCGAACTCCATTCGTAACCTTGTTGGGACCATCTCCCTTTGTTGCAAACACTACCTTCTATTGGACTTGGAAATCTTTTCCGCCATTCTTATGCTCAAGAAGCAAGCGGGTCCACTGCTCGGGCGTAGGCTGCCCTACTACTTATCTCCTCGTCCGAGGTTCAAGCTTTTGCACGATCTTCCGAATAAGGTCCCGGCATGGAAGCGGGACTACTTCGTGGTTCGAAGTGCTATGGGGTGGCCGTTTCCTACCGAGTGGGGGTTGGCTGTTCTTGATCCCGGGGCCACGTTAGATAAAGACACGGTGAAGGGCCTCCAGGACTGGGCCCGGCTTGGGCTCAAATGCCAAGACTACCAGACGGAGGCCAAGCTCATTCAGGCCGGTCTGAGTTCGGGTAGGTTTCTTGCTCAGAGGCTTGCTTTTGCTTTGTTTTTATTCTCGTCTTTTGACGCCGAGCTCCTTTTTGCAGGTGTAATGGAGGCAGAGAAGATTCGAGGTGCGAGCTTGTTTGATGGTATGAGGAGGAGGAGGAAGCGAGCTGCTAAGTGGGTCCGTGTCGATCCTTCCCGGGTTGCGGAGCCCGAGGCACCGAGCCCTCCGAGAATGGAGCCTCTTGGGGAGCCCAAGGTGGCCCCTTCAGTTCAGGAAGCGGCAAGGGTCCCTTATGCCGATACTGCTTATACCCGGGCTGTGCCTTCAGGCTCGGGAAGTCAGGATGGGGTTGGGAGTGTTCTGACGACATGATGGTGGGCTTGAGGAGGTCGCAACATGGGCCGATCTTCCTTCGAATCACATAGGTGCGCGCGTGCTGCTTCTCACGCCATGGTGGTAAGTCGAAGTATATATATATATATATATATATATATATATATATATTGCTACTCTCCTCTCGCCGGGCTGATTTGTTCTCATTTTGGCAGGTGAACTCCTCTATCCACGTTCTAACACTCCAGGTGGAGAGGGAATTGAAGCGAGCGTAAGCTGCCGAAGAGGCTTCCCGCGCTCCGCAATTCGAGCTAACGGGGTCTCGGAGGGACAACAAGGCCTTAAGATTGGTGGTGAAACACATGGCGAACCTGAAGCTGGACCTGGAGCATCAGGTCGAGTACCTTCAAGATGATATCAGGGAGAAGACTAAGATCTTCTCTCAGGCCATCGAGGAGGCAAAGGTGAAGGTCATCGACGATTACATCGCTTCGCTGCACTTTGACGACATGATGGTGGGCTCGTACAGAAGGGGTTTCAAGTTGAGCCGATGGATGATAAGAAATGCGTACCCCGAGCTCGACATTAGTGCCATAACCACTTCGCGCATCACTTCGGAAATGGCTGTCCCTTTTTTGGTTAAGTGTCCGGCACTATCACTTTTCTCTTTTACCGAACTGCTATGATTGGGCCCCGAGGCGAGTTAACATAGTAAGGCTATACGCCCGATTTGTTCTCCGCTTAGGTTGGTTAACATAGGCTAGAATTCATTGATGAGGTGCCGAGGTCATCATCAGCTCGGTGCTAGTACTTGGCCTTCGCTTGCCCATGCCGAAGGGGCG